GTAAATGGTTTACGCTGAGACTAGAATACATTAAGAAAACCAACTTAAAGGCAGCAGCAGAATATTTTTGTCTTCAGGGTAGATTTGGTTAAAAAGTAATCCTTACAAACTACTCACCAGTACTAGAAAGGCAAAAGCTACAGCTGTGTTGAGTCACTTTTGCCTCTGCGACAGTACTTAAACCTTATTTGTCTTAATGTAGCTGCTGAAGGGTTGAAAACACACATACCTTTGGAAGATACCAGGCCACCATGAGCTGGTTGTTTCCTGTTAATCCTCTCAGCATGGGAGGTCTAGCCATAATGAAAGTGATGGTACTGTAACACGTGCCTGAACATTATTGATGCCATAGTGTACAATGTGTCAGGTGGATTTTCACAGGCTGTGCTGTCCAGCTCCAGAGGTGCAACTCATGCTCTACTTCTACAGAGCCCAAGTGAATAGGTGCTGTTATACCTGCTCCGTTAATAGCAAATGATCAGAGCTGATGACGTGTTTCCTACCCTTGCCTGAATCCAGACTTTTGCTGAACCTGCTCCTTATTCAGAGTACTTAGAGAACAACAAATAGTACAATGTTTAATGGGTTTTTTTCCATTCAGCTGTTCTACAGTAGCATAAAATAGTTCCCCCCCTCCCCCCCTCGAGCCTTAACCTTTTTCCAAGCTGTAAGCATTGCTAAGTTTGAATGCTAGGACCACGCACTTTGTGGTGCCATGGATTATAATATGAATCTATTCTTTGGTGCATAAGATGTTCCATGTTAGACTTAATTGAAAGCCAAAGAATTTACACTGCAGAGACTGTCATGAAACAAAGGCAACATCAAACCAAGGACTGGATTCTGCTGTCTTATGTGCACGGAAACTCATGGAATGAGGATGGCTACAGGCTAATTTGACTAATCTGTCAAGATGCTGAGTTTTGTCCATCATATGGAGTAGTTTGGGTTGTTTTTCTTTTTTATATATAAAAAAAAGGCAAAGCATCAATGAACTTCTAAACCAGTGAATTTCTCCTGATACTTCACTGTCTGTCTAGAACTTTTGATTCTGTTCAATCTTGAAAATGTGTGAAGGTGAAAACACCACAGTGAAAGCTACGTGTTGTACTGGCAGATGTATTGGGTCAATGTATATACTTCTGCCTTAGAGGAAGCCTTTATTACGTTTTTAACAACTTTCTAGTGAAGCACAATCTCATGAGTTTCTTGTATAAAATCAAAGTGGTACAATTGTTTACACTGAGATTTTTCTAAATAAAAACTTTTTAAAAAAGCAGTCTTTCTGTAAATGATACAGCACAATGAATATACAGTGACAAGTGCAATAAATTATAGCTTGTATTTACAAGAAGCCTTTAAAATGCAAGAAGTAGAGGTAAGTGCATTTAATACAAGTTTAATATTGATCGAAACAATTTGCTATTAGCTTCTGCTAGACAAATCATGGCTATGCTGCATATCCTTTGTTTGTTAGTTGCGTGAGCTGAATGGGAAAGGTTGCAAATGTTGTTGACGTTCTGTCTTCCTGTAAACAAACTGTCCAGCTAGAGAATGAATGGCCCTTAAACTTTTACATCTGAATTACAGCTGTAGAAGTGTCCTGACTTCCATCCTGGGCAGTTGGTAGCAGATGAGGCAGCTCCACGTGGGGAGTGGAAGGAAGTTGCATAAGAAGTGTATAAAGTTAATATTGCTCAGTCAGATAGTGAACTGGAAAGACCAGCCCAGGCCTGAGTTAATGGTAGTGTTTCTAACACAGGGTGCAGCCAAGCCATCTTATGCTTACAGAGTCAGAGTTAAACAGTGCTTGAAGCATAAGAGGAACTGAAACATTTGCTTTGGCACAATCTTAGATGCTTACTGTCTTGACAGATGTCAGAAGGAGACTGACAGTCTTGGTGTAGTAACTGGTCCTTGTGGATCCAAAAGGATCTTGCATGAGATGCAAGTCTGAAGTGTTAACACCACTTTCTTTAGCTTCACTGCCTCTCCCCTTATTTTTCATTCCCCCAACCCCCAAAAAAACCTCACTTGTTTTGGGTGTTGAGCCGCCCATCTGGAAAAACTGCAGCACATATCCAAGCAACTGCTAAAGGCCAAGCTGCTACGTGAGATTAAGACCATCCCAGCCAAATAAAGCACATGTGGGCATATTACTGCTGTGGAGCTGAGCAGCCACCATGGCATAGGGTCAGTCTGTCAGAAGTCCAGCAGTTTGTTCACACCCCAGTGGGTGGTCCCCACACCCCTTCCTCCCACAAGGCACATACATGGTGTTCTGAAAGGTGGTTCCTCACGGATTTTTTTCCTCCAATTACATGAAAGCAGGGAAGGTTGTACTGAAGTTCATGGTAGCATCACAGAGTCCGTGTCATGACTGTTTGTCAGTGACATCCACAAGCTCTTACTACCATATTCCTGTATTTCTTCAAGATTACATTAGAATTATCATCAAAGTAAAGAACAGATATGGCATTTAGTTTGGTAGGTGCACAGCATGGTTTGGGAACGTAATCAGGATTCATAAGATGAACCTATTGCCAGAAAGAAAACATAGCTGAGACAATGGTATCTCATTTACAAATTCACCTGGTGCTTTGGCATTGAGCTGTCTGGACACTTACCAGAGTTTGTACAATGGCATGATTGGTTGCGTTCATATGGGCGTTGAGTGGGAATGAGCACTCCCCATCACAGTAGTTGGCTGCGTAGCCCTTTGGAGCGATTATCCAGTCCTTTTTAGGGAAACAAACAAAACGTGATTCAACAGACAACTGCATGCAATTAAGAGCAGCTGAAAATTTTCCACTAACTTTTTTTCTTGAGGGTGAAAATGTGTTTTCACTGAAACTATTAGAGTTTTGCTTGGTTTGGTTTTTTGTTTTGGGGTTTTTTTTTGTGAGCCATCACTTTTCCATGGACACATTGATTTTAATGTCCAAAGAATGGTGCCCATCTATGTACAGCTTAACTGCCATGAACTAAGAGAGTTTTATCCCTAAAACTCTTGCTGGGTTGCCTTGCGGGGATTGTGGTTTGGAGGCCTTTATGTTCCAACATTTCCTGCAGGTTAGGTCCTCTGGCTGAACTACCTTTCCTAGGCTGAGTCACAGCCAGTGTCCCCTCATGGAGAAAATCGCATATGTGCACATACAAAG